TTCCCATCTTCATCGTTTGTTGCTGACTCTGAAACATAACTAATACAAACTTATTAGCATCAGCTTTAATTTTAAGGCTATAATTTCCCCACACTTATACTTATTCAGGAAGCTAATTGCAGACATCTGAGTTAGTCGCCACTTTACTGAGTTTGTCTCACCGCAGGAAGCCCCTCCCTGCCCCCCATCATCACTTTATGAGTCACATCTGTATGAAACATGTGTTAGTGGAGCTCGAGTGGGTGTCCTGTACATTTCATGCTGGAAGCTATTTTAAAAGCAATCTTTAAAATGCTTTAGTTTTTTTGTCAGTCGCCTGAATAGAAAAATAAGACAACATATTGGAACGTAAGCGTGTCAGGAGAGAGGATGTGGGCTCAGATACTGAAAAGTATCAAATGTATCGTGAAATAGAACAATTGGTTACAATATAACCCCGGTTCTCGGAGTAAAGAGACTGCCTGTCCAGCTCCATATATGGAATATACAGGCTGCACATTTGGTTACATTGTAACTCGGGTTCTCTGAGTGGACGCATCACCCGACATATTCCATATATACAGAGCTGGAGATGCTCTGGACACAGTGGAGAGCTGCATCCTCTGCTGTCTGTCTGGAGAGGACGCAGGCTGTTTGACACAGACATACAAACGTGCTGTAGGTCATTCAGCTTTTCCAATATCAGAATTTGAGTAAGATAAACGATCACACAGGAATGAAGCGACTTAAAGGTTCTTTATTTTCCATTTCAATCCACGTGAGTCTTATTATTATTATTATTTTTAGGTTTAATGAAATTTTAATCTGTTTTTGAAATGTTTTTGTCACTCGAGCTCATTTTGATGACTTTACAGTTTGTAAGAAAAAAACCTGCCTGGTACATTTCAGCCCGTTCAGGTTCGAGTTTCTGTTGACTGTGTTCTGTATTTATTGTTTCATCAGCCTTGTCTTAAATCTCTGTGCCTGACAGAAGAGCGATGCTGTGACGGCTGTGGTTTGTTCCTCTGCACGCGTGCGTCACACTTTGTTGGTGTCTGAAGCTGTGATCACAGGCTCGACTTGGAGCAGGTTTTTGTGTATATTATGTATATTATTGTACATACTGGTCGCCCTCCTCCTACACGCTGTCCGTTATGTGTATTTCTGTGTATACACTTAAAATACACACGTGTGTGTACAATCTGGTACTGTTTCACCTTCC